TGCACAGCACGTTGAGTGACCACATCCGTGTATATCAGGGAGAGAAAGGGTTGGAGCCGGATGTTGCGATGAAGAAAGCCGTAACAGCTTACAACCATTCGATCCACTCCGTAACGGGATTTTCACCTGTGGAAATACTATTCGGGATGCGCAGGCCAAGGAGAGATTGGGGGGAAACAACGACCAATGAACATCTCGTAGAGCAAATCCAGAATACTAGGGTAGAGGTAGGAAAGACGTGGGGGAAGGTAGCGGGGAGAATTCAGCGGGAAAAGGAGAAGCGGGTAGCGCGGCAGAATGTGCAGGTACGTGACCGAATGGGAGAATTAAAAATCGGAACAATAGTGTATCGTAGAATTGGAACCAACAGAGGGAAACAATTGTTACGGTACGAGGGCCCATTCAGAGTGATTGCTATTAGGGAGCATAATCTGGTAACCATTGAAAGCATTAACGAACCTAAGAAGAGGAGAACTGTTCATATTGAACAATTGAAGCTCCCAATGTTAGAACCGGTACAGAAACCAATTGATTCGTAGTACCCTTATCGCGTATTATAAAAAAATATGTTTTTTTTATTATTATTACTGTTGATGATGTCATTTTTTTTTATTATTTTTGTTGTTCTTGTAAATAAAGATATGGCAGCATAATAGAGGTGATTGTAATTTTTATAGGATTAAGAGCTCTGTTCCATTGTTAATAAGACGTTGTGTGTTTACTTTCTGTGGTTTATTTCTTTTTATTTATTTCTCGTTCCAGCGGAGTGGAAGTGAGGTTTGGTGTACTTTAAGTTCATACTGGTACAAATAATTGTAAAGGGTTAAGGCTGATACCGGTGGCTCCGATCTGGGAATTTATAAGTTTCCGAAAATCCTATTCGTAAACTGGTGGGGGGGAGATAAAGACCGGAGACTGGCGATATCAGCCTTAATACCATCTTGTAATGTAAATAAACATAGCAATTGTATATAAGGCAGATTATTGGACGAATAAAGGAGTGTTTATTCAGAAGTCGTGAGTATTGTTTCTCGTTCCTCTTTCCTTCTTTTTTTTTATTTTTCAAGCCCGGAGACGCTTAACTTATATATATATATATATATATATATATATATATATATATATATATATATATATATATATATATATATATATAAGCCAATTTATACACATGTATGTTATATACGCTATATATAAGCCCTCCCTATATATACGCTTTCACCTATCTCTATCTACCCTCACATGGCCGCCATTTTGTATTCCAGCGGTTATATGCTGGCAGACGTGTATTTTCTCATCAGGTCTGTGGATATGATCAATTTATAAGGACAAAGCTTAGTATGAAATACATCTTTTTTGCCACGGGCTCCCGGACTATAAGTCCCAAGGAACGAACGCCACGACGTGTTTCTATTATTCTTCGATGAAGTATCACTTAAAAAAAAAAATGGACAGAAATCGATGACCCTATTGACTGTGACCTCCCTTAGATGGTGGAAAAAATTCAGAAAAAAAAGCGACAAATAACACCTATTTAAATAAAAGAGAAATATAGAGAAAATTCATCCTCATACGGGAATTTCCTAATGTAATATAAAAAAAATTATAATCCTGACCAGCACTAGCGAATTCTGCAAGCGAATTATTATCGCGCCCTCCCTTGGTAGATGGAAAAGAAATCCAAATAACACCTATTTAAGAAAAGTGAAATAAAGAAAAAATTCATCCTGGAAGTCGAATTTTCTAATGTGATATACAAAAAAATTATTATCGTGACCAGTACTAGCGGATCCAGCCAAGGGGCGTGCCCCTCTCTACCCTGGATAGTGGGGGAAAAGTTCCAAACAGCAGCTATTTAAAGAAAAGAGAAATATAGGAAAAATTCATCCTCATAGACGAATTTTTTAATGCGATATAAAAAAAAAGTTATCGTGACTAGGACTAGTGATTTCTGCCAGAGGCAAGCTCCTCTCTGGATAGTAGAAGAATAATTCCGAAAAAAATATCCAAAAAACAGCTATTTAAAGAAAAGTGAAATATAGTAAAAAATCATCCTCTAAGACGAATTTCCTAATATGATCAATATCATCCATCATTCCGAGCTCGGGATTATCCATTACTGGATCTTGGCTGCCTCAAGAGTTTTCCTTCATCAGTTTCTGATTCCATGTAAGTAAACCTTAACCTTATAACCTTCCTTTTGAAAAGTAATATTTTAAACAGCTGTTTAATAAAAAGAGAACGAATTTTCTAATGTAATATATATAAATAAATTACTATCGTGAGCAGCTCAAGCGAATTCTGCAGGGGGGGAGGGGGCGACCATCCCCCTGGATGATGGACGAAAAATTCCGAAAAAGTAAAAAACAGCTATTTAAAGAAAAGAGTGAGGTAGTTTTTGGGTCGCCATGAGATGCGAAGGCTTGTGCTCCTGTCGCAGTTTGTTCCCATTGACTCCGAACTGAGTCTCGATAGTGAAATATACGATGGAGGAATATTTATTAAAAAAAGCATTTCAACCTTCAGCGACTATAGTCTCCTTGAAGAATTCATACGATTCATAGAACTGGTCACGATAATAATTGGTATATTTCTCGTTAGAAAGTGTTGTTCTTTTCTTAAAATAGCTGCTGTTGGGTACGCTTTCATGAAAGAAGGCACTAATTATTTGGTCTCAGATTTGATCGGAATCGGAAATTATTCTGAGTGTTTTTTCTTAGAGAACTCATTTCCAAGCTGCAGGACCATTTATAGTGATCTTTCTCAGATTTTGACAATGTCGGTAAAAAAAATAGCGTTCATTGACCGTGGCTATCGATCATATTACTTTATCAAATTATTAAGTTTAGGTACTCGTTCGACGCACAATTTGGCGTTCTTTAATTTCTTAAAGAATACGTTTTTTCACTTTGATACACTCGTTAGTATTAATACATGAAAAAAAAAGATAAGATAAACCTAGATTTTTTGGCTGCAAAAAGTTTTCTCTTTGTAACCCATGTTAGCAATTTAGTTCTTTACATGTCTAAACCCATACACAGGGTGTCTCGTAAGCAGAGGGACATATTTAAAGGAGTGATAGCAGAAATCAATAAATACAAAAAGTTTATATAAACAATGGATTTTCAGCAGGAAAATAGGGAATTAAAGATTTGTGATTTTTTATGTAGTCACGATTTTTGTTGAATGGGAAGTGTTAACAAAAAAATTATTCAATTTAAGTAATTAACAATTGCTTCACTGTAAACTAGACAAAATTTACTTTAAATAAAAATAGAGGTTGCTTTTGTTAAAACCTTTTAAAGAGGACTTTGATCCGCCACTGATGAGGACCAGAGTGGAGATATTTTTGAGGTTCTCTGAAAAAAAGTTCTTGTCAGTTAAAAAAATAAATATTATGTATCTTTAAAATAACAACAATATTGTTATTGTTAAGGGACGTTGTCCCAGAATAAAGTTGATACTTCTATTCTATTATATTCTGTCTTAGTTGTTCGGGAGTGCGGCCACAGGTGCGGTCTGTACAAGGGGTACCTAAAGTGGCTTAATAATGTTAAGACAATAATATACAGTGGCTTAATAATATTAAGAAAATAATATACAGTGGCTTAATAATATTAAACCACTGTAGGGGTGTCCATTTCCCCAAGAACGATGGCTCATGTCCTCTCCTTCCAAGAAAATTTATTGCTTTCTCTTCCTAAAAAGTTGAAAATGAAAGTAAAATGATTAAAATTGTAGTTTTATTTTTTCCCTTTGTTTGTTGGAGTTCTTTTCAATTGTAACTTTGAATATGGTTCCTTAAAAAAAATTCATAACTGCGGAATTAAGTGCCTCCTCAAAATTCATAACCGCTTAAAAATTTGCTCCCTAAAAATTTTGATGGTGCAATTTGTGCTATACATCCTCCTGTTCATTCCTAGTAAGTACACAAAACCTTTTTTTCTTGTGTGCCATCGTTTCGGCCTAATATAAGTTTCAGGCCTTCGTCAGGGCTGATTGTATGAGATCTTCAAATCGAGTACACGCATTTGAGGGATGGATATATTTTTGAGAACCCTAAAAATAAAAACCTTTTTTTTTTGTACTTAAATTAAATCTTGCGTGAAAACTTTAAAGTTATGTATTAGTGATCTTTAAACAATGTTCTGTTTTTGCCTCCTCGTCACTCCTTTTTCTTACTCATATATTTGGGGGAGAGTGCAGCACTCACTGGAATGTCTCCAAACGCGCAAATGTCCAGCCCCGATGAAGGTCTGAAACTTAGACCGAAACGTTGGTATAAAAGAAAGTAATTTTATTTAATATAAATTTTTTGTTTGTGACTTCAACTCTCAAACATATACATAAGTATATATACTCAATATACTACTATGGTCAAGCCCATCTTTAAAATCAAAATTTGTGAAATGAATAATTAATCATCAAATATAGCGATTAACTGCTCACCCGTACTGAAATATTTTCACAGTTATGCATAAAAAAAAAACATTTTTGTTGTTGATTGGGTGCAACGCCGTGGTAATTAAACGAGAACAAGAAAGTAGTTTACCTAGTTCCTTCCAAACTTCAGTAATTTGAAGATTATTTCGGATCTCTTTCATGAAATTTACTTTTCCAGAAATGAATTGAACCAGCAAAGCTAATACGTAAAGATAGTTTTAATGGCAAATAAAGAAATATCAAGCCATTTTTAATGTTTTAATAAAAGTGAAATGCCCCACCACAAAGCCAAACACGTGTATTCAAATTCACAGTAAACATCGTAGGGCTCTTATCTAAAACCGTTATTTTATAGTTAATGGACGAAATAAATTCTTACATCTTAAGTCTGAGTAAAATAAATTTAAGGTTGATTCTGCATTATATACAGACATTAACGAAAATTAAATTAACGGTTTATTTGTAAATTTTGAAGTGTGAAGCGCAGCGGTTGGCGCCGACTACAACTACTCCCGTTGGAATTTCGACATCTGTTTTGGGATACTAACCTGAGCCAGTGCGAAAATGGCGACAGTCAGGGATAGTGATATCTCTCTCTGGCTACACAACAAACTCGGTACGTCTAATGATTCTTGGACTAGCGGCTCTATATGTTCACAGTTGAATTCTGAAGTTTTGAGGAATATTAAGGATTGTTTCCCAGACCTCCAAACGCAAGTCAAGCTGAAACTTTTATTATCCTTTTTTCATATTCCCCGCCGTAACATAGAAGAAGTAAGTATTTTGTCTCTCTAATATAATGCCTTTATTTATCATATGCCTGTAGTCTTTTTCATCTTATTAATTTAGTGGCGAGTTGAACTAGAAGAAATTGTTGAAGTTGCTCAAGTTGATAGTGAACAGTGGGTCTCGATGCTGGCTGAAATGATGAAAACATTACCATCAACAGGCTCCCTTAATACAGTAATATCAGAAAATGAACAAAACAAAAGGATATTCTCAGACCTTGTGAGTGAGTTACGAAAATTAGGTAAGGCTTTGTTTTTGTTTATTAATATTGTTTATTATAATTTTTAATTTCATCTTATATGAAATTCTATTTTTTTAGTCCGAAAACAGACTGAAATGAATCTATTGCCTCTTGAGTGCCATTATTTAAACAAATCAGCATTAAATAATCTTGTTGGACAGCTGGTAAGATTTGATTATTTGATACATCTTTTTAAATTTAGCTAGATTTATTTTTGAAGGAAGTTAGTCGACTGTTCTACATATCATGGATGATAAATATTCAGGACGCAGTCTTTTTCAAAATTTTTTATTTTAAAAAAACATTTTCATCCCTGAAGATGGCCCACATGGTTGGGTTGAAACGTAATCAAATATAAAAAAATTTAAAAAAGACTGCGTCCTGAATATTTATCACCCATGTTAGCTAGATTTAAGTAACTATTGAGAAATCTTGAAATCGGTACGGTTTATTAGATTAGATTTCATATAATTTAAATTACATTATTCAATTTCGATCACAAAATACTTTGTGTGGCGGATTTATAATATCTATAAAACTCCTGAGGTACTTTATTAAGTTACGTGCCACATTACGGTCTTATTACTTTATCTAAAAATTTGTTAGGTGATCTTCTTGATTTTAATATTTTTTGTTCTTATGTAATCTTAATTTTATGTAACAAAAAAGAAATAGTGTAAAACAAGGTGTTTTAAAATAGTTATTTATTGTTAGAATGTTTGGTTATCTTTGTTACGAATAGTGGTCAAAGAAAAGGTTGTATTTCTTCAACCATAAATCCACCATACTTGTATAGTGCATCTAAGATGAGTTTGCCTTTAGGGAAAGGAAGCCATCCCCAACTCAAGTTCCACCTCTCCAAAACTCAATCATGACTTTATTTATAGTTTTGGTCTGACAGTTGATAGTTTTCTCCCTATCCAGTTTACTTGACATAGTAAACAAAAATTGGCAAAAGAAATGAAAAAAAAAAAGATAAAAGAAATTTGTTACTTTTTGTCTAAGCGGCCGTTTTGAAACCTCACTTCTTATCTATCTTACCTAACGTCATGTCACATAACCTCCCTCTTCTTAACCCGCCAAACTTTTGAGTTATTGCATTGTTTAGTTTTCAGTTATTCCCTTATTACGTTCACTTATTAAATTGTTTACTTTTGGCCCGTTTGTGTTTATTTTACATTTTTTTTAGTTTGTGACCCCTTGGTGTTTATTTTTCATTATTTTTTCTCGTTTGTTTTGTCATATTATGGATCTTCTTAGAATATGGGATTTACCGTCTTCAGAAGAACAGGCAATTCAGTATTTTCAAAATGTTGGGGTACTTGCTGGCTTATCATTGGTGGATGTTTGGTGGAGTTTGCCGAGAAACAGATGAATGTTTTATCGTCCACATAATTGACAGAAAGACAACAACATTATTACAAGCCATTAAAGAAAATATAGAAGAGGGAATGACCATTTATTCGGACTGTTAGAAAGGATACAACACCCGACAACTGAACGAAGCAAACTATGACCATTTCCAAGTGAATCACCGGTATAATTTTGTCGATCCATCAACTGGGGTTCATACTCAACACATAGAACGATTGTGGGGCCCAGCTAAGTGGAGAAATGAAGTACATAGATGAACTGCCAGACAACACCTCGATTCATATTTGTGCAAATTTTTGTGGCAGTGGGTTCACAGAGAAGAGGACCCGTTCCTCGCTATTTTAAGTAGCATAAAACAATTTTGCCTTCCAAAATAAATAAGACAAAAGTAAGTGAATAATTAACTTAAAATAATTTGTATATACGTTGTTTATAGTGTTGATATTTTTTCTTTTCTAAGTAAATATGTTCTTTTAAATTTGTTTTTTTATTATTTCATTAATATATTTGTCGTCAAATAAAAGTATTTTTGTTGTTATTACATTTGTTTTTGTATCTGTTTGCACTTTCAATAATACGAATTTAATACAATAATATGAAGATGTGAAATAGGAGAAGGCTTATCACTGCGTTATGGGAGCTATCAGTGTTCAGGTTATAAACATTGGCAGATAGCAGTCAGTAGCGGCCGCTTAGACAAAAAGTACCGAAATTTCTACTTGTAAAAAAAGTTGTAGAAGTACGTACGAATGAGTAGAGAAGACAAAAAAGTGGATCGGTGGAAAAATGCTTTGCCAAAATGTTGGCAAACTCATCTCAGACGGACTCTACCATGTTTGTAGTTGTTAGGAAATATTTGTGTACTCTTTTATCTAATTATAAAACATTCAATAGTTTTTGTTTGAAATATTAGACATTAGTATTATTATTTCTGTTAAAAACAACAAACGATGAACTCACTGATTGAAGTTTAATTAACATTACAAGTTATTCAAAATATTTGATATTTTACCATCTTAAATTATTTTTTTTCTTATGCTTTCCTTGTATTTAAATATTTAGTAACTTAAAAATTTGTAGCCTGGACCCGTCAAACATTTCACTTTGAAGAGAAAGCCTAAGTCTGCTGCATTACGAGCCGAACTACTGCAAAAATCGATTGATGCTGCTAGTAACTTGAAGAAGAGTGCAGCACCAACCGTGCCAGTCAGATCGAGAGGGATGCCTAGGAAAATGACTGATACAAGTAAATTAATTTGCCAAAAAGTTTTCATCAGTATTTTAAATTATTCTAATTTGTAATTTCAACAATTCTAACATTTATTGATCATTTAGCCCCTCTGAAAGGAATACCTAGCAGAGTACCATCTGGAGGATTCCAGTCTGGAATGAACAGTTCACTGATGTCTAGGCCTGCAATGCCTCGCAGTACTCTCCCGCGTAAGGATGGAGGGATAAAGCTACTTGATATTAATGAACAGCCAATGGCATATGCCCAGGCAAAGAAGAGGAAGAGAATGCAAGGTAAGGACAGTGGTATACGCAAGTGATCATCTCTTAAATTTATCTTTTGAATTAGATGTTATCATACTGTTGTGCTGAGGCGTTGGGTTTCCAATTATCTATTTTCACTTTCATCAGTTTAACAAGCTGGCAACGATATTTTATGTTTTCCTTATATTTTTAATCTAGGCCTACTATAATGTGTATTTTATTATTTTTAAAGAACATTTGGCTCATATAAAAATAAACTGTTATTTCCAGAGCTTGAGGAAGCCGCAGCACAAAAAAAAGCATCTGCGGAAGCTGCAACATCTACACCAGATTATGCAGCAGGCTTGATTCCTCCTCCATCTGTAGCACCAGCAACACCTGCTGCAGCTCAACAAGTAGAACAGCCTACAATTCAACAACCACCATCATATGCCCCTGTGGTTCCTCAGCAATCACCTGCAGGTAAATTCGATTGGTTTTTAAGCTATATGCACAAACAAAATCTTTGCATTTTCACATTTTGATTTATAAAGGTAATCTGATAAAAAAAATAAAATAAAAAGAATACGGTTTATATAATTTTACTGTTTATATATTTTTTCATTCTCTACTGATTTAATATAAGTTTTTAATTCATTTTTTCATTTAACAGTTTAGCAAAAGGTATAAGCCCCTGATTTCCAGATGGAGCCCTATAAAATATCTCATATTTTAATCGATGAAACTATTTATGTCCATAGTAATTTTTAAATTTTTTTTTTTTGTAAAATATGAGACATCTCATGGAAAGGACATTTGATAATAATAAATTAGTGCAATTTATAATTATCAAATGATTTTTGGGAAATTAATGAACAAGAGGAGAAAGAATGACTAGACAGTTTTTTAATTAATAAGTTCGAGAGATGACGTAGTTCTCAAAATTCTTGTTCTGAGCATCCTTGATCATCCGATCGCAGGCTCAGAAATGAATTGAAGTGATTAAAATAATGGCTTATATTTTGAGAAATGAGTTTGATAGATGAGTAAACTAAATGTTCTTTAATATTAAGCTAAAAATGGGCAGATTTTGTTTATCCGCTAATTTGTTTTATATTATTATTTTTGTAGTTGTTGATGTAGCATTGTTTAAATATTTTAAATGAATTGAAAAAGAGAAGGATCTATGTAGCCCTTATTTGGGTTCCATCCCACATTAGTATCTTGGGTAATGAAAGAGCGAACCAAGTTGCTAATTTAGCGAGGAAGGGAGAGTTATCAATCAACAATAACTGCAATAAATTTCATCTCAATAGAAGTATTGGCTACACCATTTCGTTTCAATAGAAGGTTGGCCAGACTAAAAAGAAGTAGTCTGAAAATTGGGAAAGCCAATGGAAAATTAAACAGTCAGAACTACTAGAAATAAAAACAGAGTGCAACAAATGAGCTACAAGCAAGAGGAAATCCAGAATCATATTGTGTCGAATATGGATTGGTCATTGCCTATTTACAAATTTAGAGGTCTTTTTTAGACCATTTGTCACATTAGACATTTTTAGAGGTCTAGAAGCACTTAGACGCCAAAAGTGTGACAAGAGAATACAGTCAGTGAAACAGCTATTAGTAGAGTGCCATCAATTCAGAAAAATCCAACAAAAATTAAAATTACCAGTGACAATAAAGGAAACATTAAGGGACAGTGAGGGTGGAGTCATAACTCTATTCCAATACCTCAATTGAAACCCAATATTATAATAGTGTAAAAAAGTACTGCCAATGACCCTCTAGGGTAGAGGCGATAACACATAAAAATGTTTTAAATGTAAATACCATTTATTTAACTTCATGCTTAAATATTATGTTTTTTCCTAAACTTTGAATGATATTTTACATTAATTTTCTATTAAGTACCACCACTTGCAATTTTTTTTACCTAATTATGACTAATTTCCAACAGATGTTTCTTCTTAATCACTATTCTGATAAAAGTTGATCAATTTTAAGAGAAATAATTCGATTATTAATTTCTGTAGGTGTCAACAACCTTACACAAGGAGTTATGGCATCAAGCTCTGTGCCTAACCAACCGACCATTAATCTAGTTCCTGTAGCAGTGGCCAAGGTAATGAATACAGGTGGTAACCCTTCAACCAATATCCATCGATGGATTCCTCATCATTTTCTTCCTGTACCTGTTCCTTACATTCCAGTAAGCATCCATTCCTTTCATATATTTTACCATGTCCTTATCCTTCCCATTCCATTCTTTGATTGCATTAAATATTTTATCAAATTTAAGTGAGTATTATTAGGTTCTTGATAAAGATATGTAATTATTTAAGTGCTTGTATTATATACCGAATAGTTGACAATATCAATTATCATGGAGAAGTTGGTCTGTATATTGGTCAAGATTAATACTAAAGTAGTATAAAATCTATATAGTTTTTAGTATTTTGGGAGTTAGTAAATTCATATTTTTTTTTTACTGTTTGTTTTTGTCAATCATGACTGTTTGACCAATTTCTTGATATTTAATGCCAAAGGACCAAAGATTAATGATGAATTTTAAAAGGGAAAGATTGTGAATTATTAATAGTGAAAAAAAGAAAAATTCTCAAATGATGTGTCAGTTTTTATTGAAATTCCGTGTATGTACAATTCAAAATACACACGTTTATGAAAAATGAAAAACAAACCAAAATATGTTTTTTGTTATCTTACTGTATGTACTTTTTTTTTTTTTTTTTGCAAATAGAAAGACACTTATACATATATTTTGGAATCATGGTGAATTTACCTTAAACTGAATTAAAATAAAGTATAGCCAATCCTATGTGAGCAGAAAATAATGTAAACTAACATGATTTAGATAATTGAAGAGTGTAAAACACAATTTTTTGTTCCGAATAAACAGGATTTTTATCAGTGACTTACGAGTTATGAGACTTTTAATTGGTCTCGGGAATGAAAATTATTACAAATTACATAGAGGACCAAAGTGCATTGCATTTTTAAAAATAACCACGATTTTGAGGGGACTAGCAGTTTATTTCAAATTAGCGAGATTTATGAATTATGGAGATTACTATGTGTGACAGTTTATAATTTTTTTTTTTTAGAAAAAAGTTTAAATTGGAAGAAAGGTAAAAAATGATTTATTCATAGTATGCCCTATCATTAGTTACACAATTTCCCCATCTCTCTAGCAGTTCGTGGGTGCCCTCCGTGGAAAACCGTATATCTTTTGAGGTGGTCCAAGCATCAAGCCATTTTTACTCTGGGAGATGGGGCATTGTCGTGCTAAAAAATTACTTTTCCATGTATTGTAGTCCATTCTAGTCGCTTTTCGATCAATGCATGGTTCAAATTGATTATTTATTGACTATAGTGAACGGTATAAACTGTTTCATCTGGTTTCAGAATCTCATGGTACCCGACATCCTTCTGATCCCACTAAATGCACATATTATCTTATTCACTAAGTAATTCAGTCTTGCAGTCGAAGCTGCTGATTGTCCTGGGCACTAAAGGATCCAGGATTTAATTTTGGGGAGCTTCAGCCCGAACGATTTTTTTCAGTATAAATATATTAAGATAATTACTTCGCGAGAAAGAAAGAAACTAACTACCTATACGAAATGGTCTTTAAGTGATTCTTTATGCCCTATTAATTGTAATTAGACGAACAATAATACTTTTAGAGATAATTTTTTTCTTAAAACATGGTTATATTTCACCATTTTGGAGGGAGGGAAGAGGCTTCATTCCGAAAGCTCCCTCCCCTCCCCGTAAATCCACCGTGGTCCTTGGTTAACCCATGATTTTCTGAATTTTGGAAATTTATCCATTTTCCGTCTCCAGTTATGATATAATGCAAACAAGTCTTTTGTGCTGAGAAAGCAAAAATTCATGCACTCTTTTTTACTTTTCCATCTATCTGTCAATTTACTGATGTGGTTCCCATTTTCCTGTTTTCCATGGCATGCAGACGATTGGGAATGGTTCCGCGACCAACATTTAACCTTTGTACCTTCGTTTAGTTTATGTGTCCTCTCTGTCCAACAATTCTTAGAATCTTTTTTGTGTTGACCTGGGCGTTCTTTGTCTTTCGAATCAAAATCACCACTTTTGTCTAAACCAACACACACAAGCATCTTGCTTTAGAACATTGTCATCTTGTGTTTCTATTATTAAATGATGGTTTCACTTGTGTTTTTCTTGTTATGTGCAATGGACTAAATTTATGCCACATTTCAATAGAGATTAACTTTTATTTATTTAAAAATATTGGAAGAAGATGGTCCGGGGTGGCGGTCATAAATAGGCTAAATAGAGGTAATCCGTTCTAATATAGTGGTAGTCCGTTCTAGACCTGAAGAAGACCTGCAAAGTCGGGTCGAAACGTTGGCTTTTAATAAAATAGTTTGACCACTATTTAGCTTATTTATGACCGCCACCCTAGACCATCTCCTTCCTTTATAATACAATGGTCAACTATTAAATATTCAATATTTAAAAATATGTAAAATAGGTGAACTGTTTATTATTGTAAACTATAGTTAATACGTTTTTATTTTAATATAATTTCATATTAAATGAATCCCTTCAGTTCGTTTTATGTTTTTCAGAGGATATTTGCTTTCTATTTCAGTTAATTGTTTAATGCATGCTTTTTAGGCTTTTATCTAACAAAAAGAGTAGACCAAGATTAGGTCATCGATATGTAAGAGATGTCCGATTATTTAATTATAAAATAATATAGATGTTTTTTGTTTTTTAAAGGCTGAAATAGTGAATCAAGTAGAACCAGAAAGGCGGCAGATAGTTACTACAGCAACTATTATACCAACCAGACCTCCTGAAGAAAAGACCAAGCTTCTATTAACGGTAATTTCATATTATGTTAAACTTTTATTTATTTGGAAATAAATGGTCTTATAATTGATTTTCACAATCTTTTATCTAATTGTGTATTTGTTTCATTCTAATTAACTATATCCTTGAATATTAATTTTGAATTTTGTGATTATTATTATAGCGAGATCAAATCTTAGAAGCACAGAAAATGTTTGAAACTGCCAACAAGGTTACCCGACCAGAAAAAGCATTGATTTTAGGTTTCATGGCAGGTGCTCGAGGTGAGAAAATGTTGATAATAATTTTAATACTGTTTTTTTTTATATGTTATCTTCTTAAATATAATTCCAATATTAAAAAAAATAAATAAATGTACTCTTCTTTCATTGGAAGGCTGTATTATATAAAAATTTAAAATATATTTTCTGTGATAATAATACTTTTCCTCTAGAGGAGGAATATAGCCTTAGTGAGGGTTCTATGTTGTTCACACTTTTTTAATTTTTTTGGATAACTTAAATAATAATTTTAAATCTATAAGTCGACTCTTATCAGTTCCAATGTATAAAACTACACAAAAAAGTTTTATAAAAATACTGCAATCAATTGAATATATTCCATTGGTTTTTATATATTTTTACATGGTTGGAAGGAAAATTAATGAGGATTTCGCTACTAAGGCCAAGAGGAGGAGTGTTGGGGAAGAGGGTGGGGTTCTTTATCTGGAAGAAAATTATTTATGCAAGCTGTAACACAATTATGCCATAGCTTATCAAAATGAGTAACTGGTATGATTCTAACTGTTATGCAAAGGATTAGAAGTATATTTCTAGCAATAATAAAGAGATAATAATTGACTTTTTAAAAATTTTAAACGTTTTAATTCTTAAAACTTTCATTTTACACATAAATTAATTTTTATATTATCGTCAATTCTATTAAAAAATTGATTGCTCATTAAATTTTGTATTATGTGTTTGGTAGAACTTGATGTATTAACAGCTAACTTAGAACAAACAATTTACCTGAAACAATAAAATTTTACCTGAAGAAACAAAAACTAAATTAAGAAATGTTTTAATGTATTAAAATCCATTATCTGTCAATTGGTAGCTTACTAGATAGAAGGTTGAAGAGCTTTAATGAATTTATTTTATTATTTTTTTTTATCACTAATTTTCATTGATATTTTGATTTTAAAATTTGTATTTTTTTTTTTTTTTTTTTTAGAAAACCCTTGTCCTCAACTGGGAAACATTGTTACAATCAAACTCAGCGAGAACAAACTAAGCCCCGAAGATGTCATGTATATAGACGGCACCCCAGCTACTCAGAAAGTTGTCGAAACACATTTTCAGATGAACTACAATACAGGAGAATGGAAACTCATGAAGAAGTACAGAGATGTTTCATAATATTAGCTTCATTTTTGTTACAAGTGTAAATTTTATACAATTGTTAATATTCAGAACTTTATATAGGAAAATGTTCAGTTCCATTAGGTTCCATCAGAAGAGTTCCGTTAGCTTTATGTTTCGAATTATTACAAGACAAATGAGTTGTACTTTTATTATTCTTATTATTTTGTAAATATAGGATTAAGAAATGATCTCTTTTTTTTTTTTTTTTTTTTTTAGAATTTATGAAATTTTTTTTTTTTTTTTTTAAACAAATTCTCTTTATTTTGTTCTGTAAAAAAATATTTTTTATCGAGAATTTTTCTAAATTTAGCAAATAATGCATCAGAAGAAATCAAGTTTGCTTTAAATGTATGCCATGAACATAAAAGGCAATACTTCATAAACAAGTTAATATATACTTGTGCGGAACTCTTTTAGTTGTGAACCTTATAACATGGATGATGTAAATTTATGTAAATGATTTAAAAAATATAATATAAATTATTTGCAAATTTTGCAAACAATTTAAATATATATGCTGTATATATTGTTTATAAAAGACGGAACAATTTAAATAAATGTATATAAGTTTTGTTAAATATATATATTATATAAAAACAATTAGGGCAGTCTTGATTATAGTTAAGTATACATGTATGTATTTACATACACATATTAGATACACAACATAAATGAAGAATTCCACTAGAATATTACACAATTTCTTTGTGATTTATTTTTGTATGATTAGTGCCATCAAGAATGTCAGAGCCACCAGAGTGATGTTCCGATCTAAAACAAAATTATGTTTTTATGAAATTAACTCAAAATTTATTACAATTATAACTTATACGTTAAATTATCAATAACAATATAATTAAAAATTAGAACTATATTCAGATGAAATTAATACAATAATAAAATTTTGTAAGAAGAAGTTATTGATCATGGGTGCTTCTTTAATTGGACTGAACTTTATAAATAATATAATGAAAATCAGTCTTTCACAAGCGTGCCTAAAACAATTAAATCTCTGCTTGGAAAACCATGCAATGTAGAAACAAGAAAACTGAACCTCCATTTGAGGCATTTACTTACAAAGGGGATGGATGCAAATCAGAAAATCTTAGGTACATTAAAAAAACAATGTAGATCAAATTGCATCGCCATTGTATTAAAGTATAGTCAATGTATATCCAATATTTTTTTTTTAAACGTAATGGCAAAATTGAATTTATTCTCCTTAGTATGTAAAGGCCTCATTATTCTTTAGTTATGAAGTTTTCAAATACATTATGTTTAATTTATCTTGTTGTTTGTTTATTATACTGTTGTTGGTTTTATACAACATACATGACGTATTTTATCCCAAAATATAATATTAATTGTAATAAAAAATTAGGTATTTTACTTTTATAAAATTCTAAAGGATAGGGAATGCCAACCTCTAAGGAGTGTTTATCAAAAGCTCTACTTGGAATTTCAAAGGGAAAGGGGGGAGGAAGAAATGATAGACAATTTATTAATAATTATGCTCAGCAGATTATTGATAATTAGTTATGTTTTTAGTTTTTTGTACCGCCACCTTAGGGCATCTCAGGTAAGTGTGGCAATTGGATCAAATTTTCATTATCCAGTTTTGATAGATCTTTACATTTTAGGGTCAAAGAAAAAATTTTTTTTTTTAAGACAGATAATTTTTACTTTCACTTACCTAGGGAAAATATTGCGATCGTGGACATTTTCAAATCTGAATTTTCAATGGAAATACATGTTTTAATGTCCCATGAGTCCATAATAATCGATTTCACACATTTTTATAATTTTTACTCGAAAACGGGTCATAATTTTTTTATTTAACTCAGTATATCAATGTATAATTAAATGGTCTTTAATATCAGCTGGGTATTATTCTGATTGATGTCATTTAACATAGTTTAAATGCTTAATGTTTGAAATTTCTTCCTTTAAACTAGCTTTAATTTGATTTATTTTAAATAATTGACTCATTGTCAGTAGCAATAGAAAATGGATGAATATAAACTATTTGATAATTTATATTAATATAAACTGTTGAAAGAATTTGTTAGTTATCTAAAGGAGGAAAAAAAGAAAAATGTTTATTTAAGTTGAAAATGAATTAACAGAAACAATAGTCAGAAGATCTACGAATAATATATCATTGGAAAGCTGAAAATTTTTGAAAAGGTGATATCTAATATAAAAAGTTGTATAAGATAATAGAGATTGATGAAAAAATTATTAATTATAATATCTAAAAATTAATATTAATTAACAGAAACCAAATTTTTCCATGGAAGTTAAATGAAATTTTGCAAATAAATGTAAACTTTTAAAATTATTTTCAAGTTAAAAAAAAAAAGAATATATACTTCACTGAATCAAGGCAATGACATTGTTTAAAAACTATTTTATTGTACTTGCGTGAAAGAATGAGTGAAATATAAAAATATTAAGTTAAACATATGTTTATAATCTTAAATACATTTACTGTATGAGAAGGAGTTAGTCGAGGGTGCGGTCAAATAAATAAAAAAAATTAAAATATATTAATTATTTTAATTTTTGCCGACGTTTCGACCCACTTTGCAGGTCGTCTTCAGGGCGTAGGATGTGGCACTGCGGGAGGCAGTTGAAACACTGCCTTATTTAATTTGTGTTTTTTTGGCATTTAATTTATGCCACATTTACTGTAGTTTAATAACTTTAGATCCGATATTATATTCAAGTTGGTAGACATTGTCATAAGTTTTTTTTTCTCGAAAAATCATTGTGTAACTAAAAATAATTAAATCAGTGAATAATTTAATGAATTTCTCCTCTGAAATCACAACATTATCCACTTATAATCTTCACCTATCTATGGTAGGCAATGAATAGTTCGTAACAACATTTTAGTAATTTTACTATCGAATAATAAGAGTTTAATAACATATATAGTGTTATTCAGATTTAGTTCATATAAATTTTACAATGTAATACAATCCTTACTCATTCTTTTTCTTTGAACTTCTTTCAAATTGTGAGATCCGGGATTGAGAGTAAAAACTCAACAGTCTTTCTGAGATCCTCCAGACCACCACAGTACTTCATTGCCAAGTCAGCTGAGGACATGTCTGAAGGATATGCTCTATATTCTGGTAGCCTGTTCTACAGCTACAGAGAGGATTTTCTCCAATTTTAAAGTCTTCATTTCTCAAGAGGTGTGCCCTCATCCTGTTGTGAGTCTAAAGAATAAAACTTGCTGTTTCCTGCTCAACCTATAATAATCATCTTCAGGATTGTAATGGATGGGCATCATTCCACCTATGTCGAATAGTAGCCCTATTTATAGAAATAGCTGAAGATTTTGAGTGCAGCTTGTTTGTGGGGATGCAGCTCCTTCCTTTGCCAATTGGTCAGCTATTTTATTTCCATTTATTCTTGTTGGAATGGCTTTGTCGAGGGTGGTGCAAGCTAGGAATTCTATTTGTATTCCTCTTCCTCCATTAGCTGTGGCATCAGCAGCTGTTCCGTCATATCCTGGTCCATGAGGTTGAGGAGTATTTCTCGTTTATCATCTTCAAGACCAGGAACCTCATTATTTGGAGTTCATTGGGCCCCTTACACTTGATACCTGGAACTGTCAAGAAATTTTCGGGTTTTGGAAGGGAGCTCCATGGTGAGCTGTGTTTAATTAATTTGAATTTATTGAGGTAAGTTTGAGTTCTGAGATTAATGCAGTCATTTTTTGAGCTGAAGTGATGCGTTTAATCCTGTTATGGTTTTCTTCCTGTATTCTTTTTTTGCAGTGGATGGTTTGTTATGGATCTTGTTTTTTTCAAGGATCAGGAGTTCCACATCTTTTCTCTCTAAAAAAGGAGGTACTCCTGGATCAGTTTCTATTTTGTTTATTGGAATACATTTAATAGCTCCAGTAATTATCCTGAGCCCTTGATTCTGAGCTGTTTTTATTTTCCTGAAGTTGAATTGAGCTGTTATTCTCTAGCTGCTGATGTCATTCCATATTCGATCAATGTTTTCAATGTCTGGTGGTCTGCTCCCCCATTGGAACCTGCAATCTTTTTCATGACAGATTTTGTTACTTATTTAAAGATTAAATATATATAGATATATTTTCAAATCTCTTTTTCTATAGAGCTCAGAGACTGGAGTTATGTGGGTCTATAAGACAGATGGAATTATGAGGTCTTTATTGCCTACAATTGATATAATAAATAGAGCTAATGTTATTTTAATGGTCTTAATGAGTTTTTAAGAGATTAGTTGTAAGATTTAAAGTTTAGATCTGTTAAAAATGCACTTCAAAAACTTTTTAATAGTCCAACTCTGTCAGAAATTGATATATATTCAAAGTAGAGTGGTAAGTGAAAGTTGTGTGATATGCACACTAGAATTATTATTTACTTATCAATACCTCTTTCTCACCATTTCTGGCTGGCATATGTGGTGTTGTTCTAGATATAACCAAACCTATTCTAACCAGTGTGGAAAGGTGAATATTCATTCCGTGGGTCCATCAAAAAATAAATTTTAACCTGCTCAGGCCGGATTTGAACCACTGTTGTTAGAGTCGAAAATGTTAAAGCTTATGCGTTATCATGACCTCTTCAGGCATAGGTCTGTCTTGGCGATAATTATCTCTTGAACAGAAAAATTAATTTTGACACTTTTTTTTTGTTTTATAGTATTCCAGCCTCCCTGATGCCTGAGTACCAAGTTCAGAACACTGAGTGAAATAGTAAAAGTCTGTGCTATAGTTGAAAAATGTCTCTTTCTATAGACGTTAGTGTTGAATGGCTCATAATGATTTAGATGAATGGCCTAAAGTCTTCTCGATATTGCTCTCTAACTTTATATATATATATATATATATATATATATATATATATATATACACACAAAAAATACATTGCCGAGAAAAGACTGAAAAGAAGGTAATGATAAAAAGTAATACTATTACTACATAGTTCAAAAATTATAATAATAAATAAAACCACTTGAAAAGTAATTAAATTTTCTATAAAACAAAAAAAAAAATTGATGTGAGCATCGCAAAACTTTTAGTTACCAACCTACTTTTATTAGAAATTAATTTCTCCTCAAATGAGGTCATTTAATGGTTATATCTATTATCGGGTCTTAAGTTTTTAAACTAAGTGTTATAACCAAATATTTCCTCCCCGATCC